AAGACACAATGATCAAAAGTAGGCAAAACCCCAAGAAAATTACACTCTTGTGATAAGGTTGAGAGCCACATCTGTCTGACTGCCTTCATAGGCATTCCCCACATGCTGGGTGTGGAGACAGCTATCCTACACAGGAAGAAAGTCAGTCATTTAACCTGAGGCATTGGAGGAGAAAGTTTGGGAATAGCTGAAGGGATAAGTCCCATAAAGAAGGGAAACTCTGAAGTGGGAGCCTTAAAGTCTGAGTATACTCTTCACCCAAATCCTCGCTGGACTTCCAAACCATGCACGTGGAAGGTGAGATATTAAGAAGCCCAGGGTTTTACAACAGTTACAAATCTGAAAAGGCCAAACAGAGATTCCAGCAGTTTCCTTTTGCTCTAGAGACCAAGGTTAGAGTTCTACCAACTTAGGTTGAATGACACCCTGTCTTTCCACTGGAATACCAGAACAGGAACCCACAGGTCAAAGCCCACATTGATAGGACTGAGTTTTGCCCTAGTACTAAGGACTAGTGTGAAATAAATATATAAACAAGTAAATAACAAACAACAATACAAACAAACAAAAAAATCCACTACAAAATCAATGTAGAGGGACACTCTTTGGAGGAAAATGGTAGAATTCAGAGTTTCTGTTTTGTCATTTACAATGTTAACACACAGTTGAAAAAAGAAACAACAACAAAATATATATGTGAAAGAAATAAGGAAATGTGTCTACGCTCAAAAGTAAAAGTCATTAGAAACAGACTCAAAATCTAGACACTGAAATCAGCTGACAAAAACCTTAAAACAACTAGGATAAACGTGTTTAAATGTTGACAGAAATAAGATTAATACATTGAATGAGGAGTATGAAAATTTCTGGAGAGATTAGAAAACTATTCAAAAAATCAAATGGAAATCATAGAATTAAAATTAAAAAATACAGAATATGAAACCTAGTAGATGATATTAAATAGCAGTATGAAAATAATAAAGAAAGTATTAATGAATTTGAGGGTCAATGGAAATTTTCCAAACTGACACACTCAAGAAAAATAAATTAACAAAGTCTCGATGATCTGAGGAATAATATCAAGTAATCTAATATAAACACAACTGGAGTTTGAGAGTGGAGAAGAGAAAAAATGGAACCAAAAACAAGTAAAAGAATCACAAGAAAACTTTTCTAAATTTGATCAAAACCAACATACAAATCCAGGAAGTTCAGTGTAAATAGGATTCATACAATGGTAACCACACCTAATTTGCCTATTGTAGTTAAACTGCTGAACACCAAAGATACATGAAGGCTTAAAACAGCTAAGAAAAAAAAAAAAAGACACATTGTGTTGTACAGGGAAACTTCATCCAAACCAGTAGAGGAATGGAAGCCAGAAGATAATGTAATGACATCTCTAAGGTATGGAAAGAAAAGAATTTTATGACCAGAAAATTTTATCTACAAAAATGTGGGGATAAAAAAGACTTTTTTTAAAAAATAAAAATGAAGGGAATTCACAGCCATTAAGCATAAACTAAATAAAACTTGGAGATTTAATTTTCAGATTAAAGGGAAATTATTTCAGATGAAAATAGACCTATAGGAAGGAGGATGAGAATCAAAAAATGTGAGCGAAAAGGGAATATTTTGTTTTGTCTTACATTCTTTAAAAGTTAATTGACAAAGAAGTAGTAAGCTTCAAAAAAGATATTTGGGGACTAAGGGGTGGTGGAGCTCTTGCTCAGCATATGAGTGGCCCTGGGTTCAAACCCAAGCACACTACACACACACACGTACAAAAGGCCAGTAATCATTGACAATAAAGTAACATAATTAGTCATTAAGCAAATGCAAATTAAAAGTCATTGACGTCTCTTCCTATTCATTAAAATAGCTAAAATTAAAGACAGAATCTTAACTACAGTATTTAATATATTAGACTACAAGGATGCTGAGGTTCAGATTTAAGAGTCAATGATTCCTTATAAGTGCTATTAAAGTCACGATAGAAATGTTCATGCAGTGGTTTTTGAAAGAGAAAAAAACAGAACTGAGGTCAAACTGCAAAGATTATCATTTAAGTGATGTGTAGCAGGAGAGGAATTCAGGAAAATATTTTTTAAAAAAGGCAAACAATTATCAATGTTGGCTAGAAGGTGGAGGAAGTAGAATTTTTATACATGTTTACCAGGGTGCAGATGGCACAGCTACACTGATGCATATTTAAAATTATACTTACATATACTTATCCTATGATATGAAAACACATGTTTACAAACAGAGGTGTACATGAATATTCAAAGCAGTTTAATTCATGCTGTTCAGTAACAGAAATACCACAAATGTTCCAGAATAAGAGAATGGATTAAAAAATGTGATATATAGTCCTACAATATAATATTGACATTGGAGCAAAAGCGTGAGTGAATCACAGAGGCATTAAATTGAGTAGAAGAAACCAGAACCAAAGCAATGCATAGGGTGTGATTTAAATAAAATAGGCAAAGGTAACATATTGTGATAGAAATAAAAGAAGAAATTGCTTACAATAAGAGTAAGGAGATTAGATTGACCAGAAAAGAGCAGGAAGAAATTTATGGGGTGTTAGAATTGTTCTCTTTTGATGGGATGGTTATTATAAGGTATATATATTTATTTAGACTTGTCAAACTGTACAATTCACTTATACACTTAAAGTATTATTAGGTTATGATGAAAGATTGGATATGGATGTGTTAAAAAGTTAAATGGAAGCACCATACAACTTTTAAGAGTTTATTGTAGTGAATAGCAATTAAAGAATTAATTGGGTAGCTCCAAACCATAAGTGATTGGGGAGCTTCACCGAGGAATCACAAGGGGGAGGATCTACTTTTCAATGTCTCAGAGTTAAAGCAAAAACATTAGTTACCAACACACAGTTGCCTTATTTGGTCTATCCTGTTGCATACTCACTCTGTGTTTGTTGGTGCTTCTGATTGATTTCTGAATTTCTGTTTTGCTTTAATATAAGCATTAATAAAAAATAGCTCAAGTTGTTTGGCTTATGATTGCAAATCAAGCAAGGTTAAGTCACCATGAGGCCTAAATGACTTTGTCTTCTTGGAGATTCTTCACATCTCCTCTCCATTTTAATTCAATAACAGATGTAATACTGGAGGTGAGGTCATGCATGGATTCTGTATTACAGTCTAGAACTAATGCTGTTAAAATACATTTAGATAGGAAGAACCCAGTGGAGAAAGGTGGATAGGGAAAGTTTTGAAGCTCTATTGTGAATTACAAGTGAAGACAATGTATTTTATTTACGTATTTAATTATTTATTTTGTGATTTTTAGATATACATGACAGTAGAGTGTATTTTGACGTATCATACATACATGGAGTATAACTTCCTATTCTTATGGTTGTACGTGATGTGGCATTACACTGGTCATGTATTTATGTATGCACATAGGAAAGTTATGTCTGATTCATTCTATTGTCTTTCCCATTCCCACCCTCCCTCCTTTCCCTTCATTCCCCTTTGAAGTAAAAGCAAAGTTGATTTTTAGAAAAATTATTCTACATAGAATTTTTCTGGTCATAACCTGTTCAAAATATAACTGCTTCTGCTTTGTTTTAATCTGGGCTGGGAGAGAAGTGTGTTGACAGGGTTAAGACAAATGAAAACCATAGTTCGTTGCAGGTATTCTCATGCTGTTTCCATGAGCTTTACCTCTTGTCTTCCTACTTTTAGTAGCCAAAATGATAGAATTTAAAGCTCTTTCATAAAATATTTTGGAAACAAAGAACATTTCATTGACAGTGATTCTAATATTCAGGTATTCAAACCTAATTTTTGCAGATGAATACTTGAACAAAACTCAACATGTTTCTGTAACAGATTGGTATAGAACAAAGATTAGTAGTTTATTTTCAATCTTTGAGTGATTCAACTGGATCAGTTAGAATTTTCCAGGATGATAATGGCCTGTTAATATTGCCTGGAATAAATAAATGAGTTCAACATATTTCGTTTGATGCTAATTGTTTTCAATAAAATATTTATTCTTGATAAGCTTCTGAGAGTTTATTATTAATTTTATTTATGTCATACTTATTTGTTTCATGCCCTTATATAATTGACATTGCATTTATATACTCTCCATATATTTTAAAAAATGTTCTCCAGAGAGACAGAATTATATAAATATAGAAAACTATTATATAAACATAGAAAACTATTGGCTTATAGAATGGAATTACGCAAGCTAAGATTAACAATCTGCCCTCTGCAAATCCAAGGCCCAGGAAAGCTGGCTGGGAAGTACTAGTCCACACCCAAAGTACATCCTGGTCCCAGATTGAAGACGGAGAACTGGGTATGCCAATGTTTAACAGTATGAGAAGATGCTTGCCCTAGCTCAAGCAGAAAGTGCAAATTTGCTTTCCTCTACCTTTTTGTTCTAGTCAGGCCCTTAGATTACATGATGCCTGCTCACAGTTGTAAGGGTAATCTTTACACTGCCTACTGATTTGAATACTCTTATCTTCCAAACATCCTCACAGAACCATCCAGAAATAATGTTTTACTAGTCATCCAGTTAATCTTTAGCTATTTCAAGTAGTTCTTTCAGAAATAGGGAAAGTTAAGTATTTTTATATCTAATTTATACCTGAGAGATCTAAGATTGTTTAAGAAACTTAAAGGTTCAAGGAAAAATCTGATGAAACCCCAAATCAGTGCTCTCTTCTCTATAGAATGCTGCCTAGGCAGACTAAGCCTATAACTTCCTGGGAATTTATCCTTTTGGACGAGGACATCTATTTCTCTATGAAGATGTGTTATATTGGGAACATATATTTCACAACATCTGTCACCAAATAAATTTGGTTTTCATAAGGAAAGCAACAGAAGTAAGCTGACTGAATGTGTTCAGGAAGAAATATAGAGGTGATGACATATGAAAGCTAGGGACATATTTAAGTTCATCAGTCTCAATCACCACACCCATCACAAATCAATTGACAGTATATCTTTATTCTCATGGATAATACAATTTTTCAGAGTCATCCTTTATTAATACAATTTTCCAATTGATTTAATGATATTAGCTTTGTTCTTCGTGTTATTATACTTCAGATTATGCAATGATAGAATATTTGAAAAGAAATCAAGTTTTGTGAATATAGAACTTACTGCATAATTGAATAACATATTTAAATACTACAATACCATTTGTAAGTAGGATAAATTCAGGAGAAAAGTGAAGATATTTTGCACATTTCAAAGCACTGATACTAGCATTGAGGAAGCTAATAGTCTAAATTGACATCCAGGGCACTGCTGCATCATTTTCTCTGTAAAATAAGGTAGAAGAGCATTTTTGGTATCATTAGAATGGTTTGTGTAAATTTTTCTAGATGTTTGTAAATTGCTTATTAAAGAACTAGAAAGCTTTACTTACACTGGTATTGATTTCACATTAAGCAAAGTCAAGCTGTACTGAAATCTCTTTAGTATTTCTGACTAAATAAACTGACTTGTATTGTGCAAAATAGTACCTTAATGAGAAGGCTTTTTAAAGAGATATGGATAGTACTCACTCCTGATGGTATTTCTATAAACTACTTTTTATCTGAAGAATTCTGAATATTCTTTTTCATGAAAGGAGGGATCAGAAGAGACTCACAGGCAGCAGGAAGGAGATTTCAAAATATTTGTCTTTTGGTTTTCATTTTGGGTCAAATAGTTGGATTTTTCATGTATATTTTTACTTTTTAGTGTCATTCCAGTGCTGCCCTTCTATCAAACTCCCACTGTAGCTACAACAGCCAACCAAGCTCATTGAGACAGGCAATTAATCAATTATGGTTTGCTAAGGACATCAAAATTGAAATTTCCTGGTTGTTATGAAATTTCTTTATTATTTTGAGATTTTGTTTTACTTCAAGCTAATATGGATATATTGGCATTATTAAAATGCTTAGCTGGCAAAGTGAAATGAAGTGGGAGAACTGATTCAATATAGTCAGGAGTCAATATTGATTTTTAAAAATTGTTAGAAGTCTCATGATTATTATGTTTTTGTAGGTAGAAATAATCACTAGATTGTTTTTTCATAATCATTTTGTTAAGAATTTTTTATTAGTTTTTTTGATGCATGACTTTTGGCCAATACCTACCCAAAATTTCTGAATGCTTAAAACAACATCTTATGGTTCTCTTAGGTTATCAGTCTTGGCCTAGTGAGAAAATAGAATTCCATAAGAAACTCATATTATATTAAAATTAAATTACAGTCTGATTAATTGTTAGTCAGAAGTGATTGATTGACACCTTATTGAGGCTTCAGACCATATACTCTACTATAGTATTGATTATATTGTTTTTGCCATATTTTTAATTTGTGCACTGTAGTTGTACATGCATATTTGCATGTGAACAAAATATAACAATATAATTTGGCCAATATCACTTCCTGTTTTATTGTTATTTTCATGACTGAGCCTGTAAATGAAGTACTAGCTTTATGTTTTCTATTACACAGAAATTTCTCATGTTAAATGAATCTTTGGATACCCTACCTTCTCTTCTGGAAGCACTGAGGCAATAGTTGGATTTAGAGCAGAAGCAAAAGCCTTGGTGTTGCTGGGTGTTGGTGAGGTGGAAGGCATGAAAGCTCCTGCACTGTCATGTCTAAATTTTATCACTTCTTTCTGTAAATATGGTAGCACTCCTCCTCCTGGCTATAGAAAGAGAATGAAAACAAAATGGTTATAGGTTCAAGTAGGACATCAAAATTGGGAAGAATATAAAGCCACAGGTTGAGATAAAAAGCAATAAATAAGGCCTTTATTGGTTTTCCGTATCATAAATTATTTTTAGCAAGATTGAATATAGTCCACAAATATGGTCTCTTGATGCTGCTTTTAAATAAGGGTTAAACAAAAGTGACTGGAATAGATAATATTTGAGGAATGGACTGAATTGAATCCTGACTAGCAAAAGATTATAGAAGAAGAACCAATAATTGTTGATGGAAATATAATAAAGTTTATATTGAAACAAACATTAGTGAAGGAACCTATAAATCATCAGTTGTTGATTTCCAGTTGTTAGCAAAGTGTTGTCAGGAGTCTTACCATCACAACAGTTTCAGGAGCTGTGCCTAAGAGGGTGTCAAGAGCCAATTGCTGTTGTCCTCCTGGTACACCCTGAAAAACCAGAAAGATTTAAAAAGTCTAAACTGTGGTACTTATACATATTCTGCCAAAGCATTTAAATGCTCCCAACTTCTTTAATTATTTTCTTAAAAGTGTAGCAAGGAGTTTAGATTTGAGAAAGAGAGATGTAAGTGTTATATAGAGCCCTGGCTGGACATCCAGTTCTGCCTCACTTCTGGAAGCTCTGCTTTCTGACATTCCTGCTAGGCCCTGGTGTTCTCTTGATGAGCATAAACAGTCTCAGGACACCAACACCAGAGAAGGTTGTCTCTGCACTTGATGAAATTAAAAAAACAAGACAACTTCCTGGTCTTGCTTAAAGCAAGGTTACTGTGCAAGTCACAAAAGTACTTGTGTCCTCACAGCCTGGAAAATACTATGACTGTTGCTCATTCACCAATTACAATCTTTGCCTTGGCTATATTATCCTGCCTTCTGGGTAGGAATCCTGAAAGTACTTATCAAAGAACTTCTTGACTATACCCACTTCAGAACAAACTCTGAACTCTCTCCCAGACATCTAATGTAAATCCAAGTCCTGTGAGTTCATGCTCACAACTTCCTATGAACATACCCCATGGGTCTCCTGTGTGTTCGCCTCATTAGTAATGTGTGGATAAATCCAACTTTGTTCAACTAGAGAAGTGTTGCTGGTGATATTTAGCTGAAAGGCAGTTATATATTTAATAAATAATTAAGCAAATGGTTTCAAAGAATTTTTTAAAAAGAAAGATATTCATCTACTCACAGGTTCTTCTTGTTGTGGAATATATTCAAATTGAGTATAGAATGGTATCTGTTGGATTTTTGAAACATGCATTAGTTTTACTAATGATTTTTGTTACAAGTTTGTGATAAATTATTACTTAAGATTACATCTTTTATACTAATTAAATGCTTTTTAAAAAATTCGTGCTTCAGTTGGTAACAATTTTTAAATTAATAAGAATCCTTTTAATACTATATTATTTCTAGGATAAAAACTCTCTTTAAAGTAACATGATTGAATTAGAATTAGTATCGCCAGTTATTTAAAGTATAATTTTCAGTTTTCTTCAATTTGTGATGACAAATTTTAAAGTGGTAATTAAACTATTAAAAAAGACATTTCTGTTTTGACTAAAAGAATGCTAGTTATGCATGGGCCACCTAAATTTACAGTGTAATTCTGAATATTCACTGTAGGCTCACAAAATTAAATATATTTGTATCTTATTTTAACTCAAGATCTAGTGGTTAAGAGATACTTCAAGATTGCTATTATTTTTTGCATTTTATTATTTTAAGTAATAACTATATGCATGCATATATATATATATATATATATATATATATATATATATATAGATAGATAGATAGATAAAGATGGATGCTAGCAGATTTTAAAGTAAGAAAACTTCATTTTCAGAGGTGATTCAGCTTTTGGCCTCTGGTTTTATTAGAGTTCATTCACTGACTTAATTCATTTAGAATCCAGACTTGGAGTATTATCAAGTCAATTTACACAAGTGATTTATAGAAGAAAACACTATATCCTCTTTTATCTACCAGGTCAAGCTGTTGATTATTTGCATCAAATATATTCAGTTACTTTTTCTCTGAGAATTTGCCTTAATCTGTATATTCTCAGGTAGAACTAGTCAGATAAGTCTGAGGATGTAGCTTAGTGGTAGAGTGCTTGTCTTGCATGCAGTAGCCCTGGGTTCAATTCCCAGCACTGAAAAATACATACATAAATAAAGTTGAAAAAAATAAAAATAAGTAAAACACTCTCAGTACCTGTTCCTCAAATTTTTGCTGCCCTGTTTGTTGGGGTGACTGAGTGACTGTTTGTTGAGGTTGTTCCCAGGGTAGGAGCATGTACACTGGATAGTATTGAAGCATCTATTTATAATCACAGAAGCATATAAGAGATTCCATTAGATCATCATATGTCATACTTTTAATCTTCTAATGTCAATATTATTTTAAAGTGGTTTTATGTATAGCAGTTTCATATTATTATTAGGTATGAATAAAAGAGTGGATAAAGCAGTCTTCCTCGAGATTAAAACTTAGATCACACATTATATTGGACTTTGTTTGTAAGATTACTTAATAAAACAATTTAGGATATAGCAGATTCAACAAGCTAAAAGAGGCCTTTTTAAAATAAAATACATCTTAAAAACTTCATATATAAATTACTTTGCAAATACCCAAGAGGAGGATAACCTATGCTACATTTTCCTAATATTTTTGAGAATCATCATTATACAGGACATGATATTAGAAATCCTATCATAACGAGTGAAAAAAGACATATATTCTTTATTAAATTATTAGAAAATGTAACAATTGCCACTTTATTAAAATAATTCACATGCCTTCATAATATTAGAAAAATCCAATAATAGACAAGTAGCAAAATACCCATCACCCACCTTATCATGTATCGGCTTCCACTTATTCTTCTTCATGCATATCATAGTACATGCATAAAGCTTCTATTTTGTTTCTTTGCATCATTAAATAAGTGATTATATTAGACATGAAATTTCAGAACAACAAGCAATGGTTGTTCCAGAGAAGTATATTTTGTGAAGTGGTTTTTAATCCATGTTAAGAATCAAAATCACCTAATTGAGCATTTTGGAAGATAAACATGTTTGTCTTCTAATTGCAGGTTTTGATTTATTAAAGTCTACAATAGGGTTTGGGCATTTGTACTTTTCAGAATTATCACCAGTGATTTTGATGTAAAGTTAGGGTGATGAGCCACAGGTTTAGTGGTTTAAAAAAGGGTGGAGAATTACATTCCAACTCAGCTATTTACTTCATTGGGATTGGAAATTGAATCTCATTAAGATTAACTTTCCTGATCCTTGAAATGAAATAGTTGTACTTGTCACATATTTGACTCTAAGTGCTTCTGGCATAGAATGAGATAATGTCTAGAATTAAGTTCTATTTTGCAATGGGAATAGGGTGAGACAAAGTCACATAATTGTAATTACAGAAGAGCCAAGTAGTATAACTTTTGGTAAAAAGATTAGTCCTCCACTGGTGAATGATATAATTTATCTATAGTCCTGTTTCTTTGAACCCCAGTATTATAAATTATCCTAACACTGATAGAGTTTTCCATATTAATATAATTATTCTATTAGTTTACATTCATTTAAAAAATTTCTCTTATTTAGTGGAACTCATTGATTATAATATTGAGTCAAACTGGAAATACTGCATGTGAGGACTTGAATATGTTTTCAGCAGAATTTAATTGCCAATAATGTAGGAAAGTGTTTCTTATCTCTACATCATACCATATCTTATCAGTTTAATAGGTGTGTATTTTTATAGCTCTGCTCTAGGAGAACTAGAAATATGAATGCATCTCCTTCTGCAACAACACTTAGAATTGTGCATTCAGCCCCTGGATTTCTTTTTCATTTATTCTTAAATGCCAGAACTTTAGATGCAGAGAGGGCATCCCCTGGGGCTTAGTGAGTTCCTTTATCTCCAATATAGCAATCTCCTGGGAATTCAGGGATCCTAGAGATTCTTTTTAGCTGCCTGTTCTTAACTTGCAAAGTGAGCCCATCATCAACAGACTAATGCCAGTTCAATAATGGTTGTATTTAGACAGAATGATACCATGGTGTGAGTGTCTATAACCCGGCTATCAGAGAGCTAAGGAATAAAAGAAAACATAGTGGAGGGTATAAGTAGCCACTTGACTTATTAGTAATGGTATTCTCTTCACTCACCTGTGCTTGTTCTTGAGGCATTTTGAAGGGAAATACATAGGGCATCATCCTCTAAAAAAAAAAAAAAAGCTGTCTAAAAAAACTAAACTTTGTTATTTAAAAATTTCAAGTTGCTATCTATAGATCTAGCCATATAACTTTTATCATTTGCATTACCAAGTATCTACCAAAAAAGGATGACCTATTGTATTAACTATCATTAACAAAATTTGTCTTTTTAAAATGAAAATTTCCTAATTATCTTCTCTAAAACTTGTGATGCTTTTGATTTCTGGTTATATCCAGAATAGTTGATTTTAACATTATTATTATTATTATTATTATGTGTGTGTGTGTTAAAAATCAAAGAATATAAGGAAGAACTTTCAGAATTTTATGAAAAAATTCTTGACTAGGTCTCTTCTGCCTTATTCCAAAGGCTGATTCATTTTCATGGTCACATTCCATGTGCACTTCTCTTTTCTTAGGACAAGAACATTGGCCCAACTTACGTGATTAGGACCCTGCTGGGTCTGTGGCAGTGCCTGAGGCTGTGAGGGGCCCAGCTGGCCTGCTTGAGCTCCTTGGGCAAAACCGACTTGTCTGGGGAAAGATATCTGATTTGGGGATAGTCCAGCAAACTGGTCTAGAGTTGACAGTGAGAGCTGCGGCTGTCCTGGAATTCCAGCCTGCGGCTGCTGTTGTAGAAAGCCAGAGAAGGGGGGGATCCATGAATTAAATGGGCCCTGGGAGCATTCCAAAGAAAGAAAGAACGTCTCTTTTAGATCAAAAGGATTTAAAATCAGTCACGAGCAAGAAAAAAATAAAATCTAAACAATTTCTATATTTTCAATACTGCTATACCAAAAAGGACAACATCTTGATTCATGAGCCACAGAAACAGTGTTCCATTTTTAGTGGTCATGAGAAATATGGAGCAGAAAGAGGGAGATAAAAGAGTGCCACTTCTGTACTTGCTAGACTGGTTTCACATCTTGATTTTTCCTCCTTTCTCACTAGTTAGGTGGATATGACTTTGTGTAAAATAGTTAATTTAACTATCCTATAGTAGGATAATTAGTGCCTGGCATATAAGAAGTTCTCAAAAAAAAAATAAATGCTAGTTAGATTACAGTTTTTTACTTTAATCTTCAAATAAAATTAGAATATACAGAACTAGCTGGACCCAGTGGTGCACACCTGTAACCTCAGTAACTTGAGGCAGGAGGACAGCAAGTTCAAAGCCAGCCTCAGAAACTTAGTGAGGCCCTGAGTGACTTAGGGAGATCCTGTCTCAAAATTAGAAACAAAAAAGCAAAACAAAACAAAACAAAAAAAACACATAAAAAAGGGGCAGAGGGATGTGGCTCAGTGGTTAAGTGCCCCTGGGTTCAATCCCTGATACAAAACAAAACAAACAAACAGAAAATAATATGTGGAGCAAATTTATAACTTTTAAAATGGAAATTTTGTGGAATCAGAATATGTCATTTTGTTCTCATACAAAATGTCGAGCAGAGGAAAATGTTTTCCTTAAACTGATAATTGAGGTGGAGATACCTGAAGCTGTAGTGGCAAAAACTGACCATTATTCAGATTCAGAAGTAACTAGAAAAGGAAAGAAAATATGAAAAGATTACTATACATGGTAAAATGATTAATAACAATGTTTACTACAAATACAGTACAAGTCAGAGTTGGCTAACCAGTTCCCTGTTAGAAGTGAGATGTTATTTCCACAAAACTTATGTGTTGAATCACAGCTATTAGAGGTTAGAGTTGAAAATAACAAGTTGGGATTTAGTAACATCATCTCTGCTGTATATGAGATTACACAATTTTATCCCAGTTCAGTGGTTTAAATAGTCATTTTGTATATCAACATACATCTGAATTAACTGCTATTAGAACAAAATATGTAGAGGATATTGTCTCTGCCTTTGAAGAACTCACAATTAAACAAAGGTGGGGGCAAAGCTTATTTTATAAGCAAGTTTCTGTATGCAGCAAACACTAAGTTTGGAATTTATTTGGATATGCTCTTGCTAGTGGATAGGATGTAGGCTAAATCGAAAGAAGACTTTTATCTCTTCCCACTGAGGTTTTATGAAAAAAATGCAGGAGATATTGTTACTGAAACTAACCTCATTGCTATTGCTCGCAGACAAAAGGCGTTGTGGGATAAGCTAAGAATAGAAAAAAAAAAAAAGGTAAAATAAGGGATAGCCATAGGTTTACACTCTGAGATCAAGAGTAAAATGAGACACTTACCGGGGCTGAAAATGTAACTCCCAAGAGTCCAAGAAAAATTATAATTTTCATTTTCAGATGATTATACCTAGAAAATGAATTATAATACTTAATTTTAAAAATTCTTTCCTTAAAAATCATGACAAAAATAAAGTCATGACAAAATAATTATATAAAATTGTTCAATCAGAGGAACAGTTGTGCACATTCTTCAGTATTACATCTTAGGATTTAAAATATAAAAATAAATATTTATAACAGAACTCTTTCTTCTCTCTCAAATCAACTTCTTATAGAAACCAACATTGTTTGCTTGACCAACAGACTCAGTTGGTGGCATATGATGTAGTTGAATGGGTTAGTGAACAAGACGATCTCGTCCTTTTGCCACTCTACACTGGGGGACTGTGTCTATCAGAACTTGGGATGCCCATGACTGGGGTCAACTAACTGGCCCTTATTAAAAAAATCTTAATATTTACATTGAAAAAGTGCTACAATAAAGATCTGATGATACTAGTCCAAAACAAGATAATTTCCATTTAAAGGCCTATTAATATTGAAGTATATTAAATGTAGCAATTAAGTCAATATTTTTCTAATTTAGGGAAATGGAGTATGAAATTAAAATGTAATATTGATTTATAGTTTACTGTGGAAGTTTATTACCTCTTGTCCTCTGATGTAAAAGCTCCTGACATAGCTCAAATCACTGACCTAACCAAGAGTTTAGGGTGACTTTGGTAATCTCTCAGAGCATAATTCACTGAGTTTGGTTCTGAAAGTTATGAAAGCAAAGATTTCATATCTTACCTTACTCCTGGCTTAAGAAATTAAGAACCATTCAAGATCTGTGTTCTTTTTCTCTCTCAGCTCTGTTGGTTGAAATTTCTCTTAAAATTTAAAACCCATCTTTAGGAAAAAAGAGCCAATCATTTTTAAAAGGAACCAGTGATTCAGTGGTCTTCAGACAATGGCTCAGCTAATCATCCCTTTCCTCATCATCCAGGTGGGGTATGGCTTCCCACACTTTTAGTAATGCTCTTAAATTATCCCCGAGAAATGTTTTCCTGTGATCACACCTGGATTTTCCTTGGTTATGACTAACTCTTTAAGAATGATTTTATTCTACTCCTCTTACCATCTTTAAAATGAATATCTAATTGAATAACCTGAAGTTCTTTATTAAATTCAATGATAAATGGGTGAATATTTTTATTTTTGGAGTAAAATACAGAATTATAAAACAGAGGTCACAGGTATAAGAAACAAAAATTCCAAAGTGTAGTTTGTGGCACTCAAGATTCTTCACAGTTTCAACACTGGGCTGAGTGAATATAAGCTAGTTTCATTTAGATTTGATTTTGAAAATACTAGTACATCTCTCTTCCCTTATGGAATAAAGCCATAAACATTTGCGAAATTTCTGTATGTCTATGAAATGTATGTCCACACAAGATTGTGTTGCTTTGAATAAATTAAATATGAAGTACTAAAAAATACTGCAAATCAATGTTTTGTATTTTTTTAAAATTCCCTTTGTTAAATATAACTAACATTCAAAATATTACTAAATACTACTACCTGTATAATATCATTTCAATTTTCTTCTTAAAAGTTCATTATTTGTTTGGTTGCTGTTAATATTGATTCTACTCTAACAGGCAGTCCATGATCACAAGTGTTGTGATAATGTATTCTCAGTTTCCATTATGAAAGAGTTATTTAGCTAATTTAATCTTGAACAATTAATAGTAGTCTTAAAATGTAGTAAAAAGTTATTGCCTTTCAATAAATGTGACTTTCTTAGAGACTTAAATTTTGTGGACTCACTCATACTAAAATAATTATACCACTTGTTATTTATCTAGTCAAAAGAAACCTCACAAGCAACCAAAACATTATTTAAAATAACAAGACCTTTTTTCTTTACTAAAAAAGAGAAGTTACCACTAGGATTTTATATCTGTTAGAAAGGAACTTTTCCAAAATTTGTGAAAGTTGTCTTTCTGAATTAAATAGTTAGAACACCCTAGATGTTGATGGCAAATTTAACTAAAGCTTGGTGACATGACAAATTATTGACTGCAAAGTACAGCAGGTTGATTGAGTGGGTGAACTAGGCAGAAGATTTTATATTACTTGATGATGTTAATATTTGCAATAAGTGACCTGGTCTATTTTGAGTATTGTCAGTCTCTTGAGATTTCCTTTTGCATTCTGTAGGGTCTGAGGCAGCTGACCCCATTACTGAGCCAGAAAGTCATCATGGCCAAGAACTGAGCAGGTCAGGACTATGTTCTGGAGCCAAAACACAGTAAATTTAAAAATATCCTGATGAGGAATAGTTTCATTTAGCTACATTCTTCAAACTGAAGGTAACTGGCAGGATTCTGTCACTGTTCTTTTTTGCTTTTATTTTCCATTAAAGAAAAGCAATTGAAACTCCCCATTTATATAACAATGTGGAAAAGAATAGGCTTTATTTCCAAAACTCCCTCGAATGCCACATCTGAAAGCTTCCAAGTTCCTGTATCATTAGAGGCAGGGTTATCTCTGGGTGGTAGGGGACATAGCAAGGAGCTCTGGGTCAATTCTCATCACATTATAATGTGCATATGGTATGTCTCTGTTTCTCTCATTCAACTATGTTGACTTTACTCATTTTTCTTTGCCTGTGTTTGTGACTCACTAGGTATTTCACTGATTTTTGTTAAAAATAAGTGATTAGATTCAGGAGAGGAAAAACAAGTGGGACATATCTAGAGTAATGTCATTCTGTGTGGAGTAAGGTGCAGGGTCCAAGATGAGGAAATCCTGAGCCAGATACACTCACCAATACTGCATCATTTTGTTTTAGTTTGATTAGCAGAACTAGACAAACTTTCATTCAAATAAAAGTACAAAGACATATTATAATGCCAAGAACATGTGACTGTTGAATTATGTACCCGTGAAATTATCTGTATCTTTGCTCTGTTCCAATAACAAAAATGACAAAGAGTAAACAGTAATGGCTTATGTTAATCCTTTCAAAATGTTACGTTTGCTTTTTTCCCCTTTATCCTAAAAAAATATTAAAAGGCTTATAGAATACATTGTAAAATAGACCAATATTAGGTGAATCATGATAATTGAATTTAAATTTTAGCACTGCTTATAATAAAAACAATTTTCTTGTATATAAACGGATTCCCAGGAACTTCTGATAACATATATCACCTTATACAGGCAAGATACATATATCACCTCTGTTTCCATGAGAAAACTGAGGTACAGGAGGTTAAATGACTCCATTCATTTATTTATTCATGCAACAAATGGTTATTGTGCCAGCTCATATCTCTGCTAGGCATTGAAAACTTGGTATTAATAATAATATATGTAGTTTCTACCTCCATGGAAATTATTATTTTTCCATAGTCAAAAAAGTACCAGAATTATGGTTAGAATTCAGGTCTCTTGATTCTTAATCAAGTAGTATTTCTAAGGTATTAAGATACATAACTTGAAAGGAAGTGACATAGTATCATGATAAAGAAAATTAAAAACTTAAAAAAAATAAATGATAAAAATGTTCTTAAATATTGCCAGAGATGAACTGTGAATCTCAACCCAATGAGGTCAATAGGTTTGGGGTCAAGAATTATTTCATTAATAACTTATACAGTAAATCAGAGATTAGATAAGCAAGCTTTCAACCTAAACTCTTCTATTACATGGGTGTTTATTCTTAACTACTGTGAGACTTTACTAAAGTACCCTCATCAGTTTGAGATTGTGAGTACTGGACATTAATTATCACAAGTTCACTAAGATTATACACTCTAGATAAATGTTTCTAGCTTGATTATATTAATCTAGTTTTATTTTACTTAGGATTTTGTAGATATTTGCATGTAAATTATGACTCTCAGGTGTTTTTCTAGGAGTAGCATTTTTAACAATACAGATAATAAGAAAAGTAAAGTATTATGCTTTTTTTTTTCCTTTTACAGAAGGACCCATGAGTTTCTGAGGACTTGAGAGAGGCCAGCAATAGCCAAATTGAGTCACAACCCCATATTTCTGCTAAAAGGATAACGCAACTCAAACAGATAACTCAAAACAAAACCGAAGCAAAATGAAACAAAAACGGAACAAAAAAATCGTTGTATCAATTTTCTCTTCCTCAGGGCTGAACAACTTCAAACCTTGAGCCAACCATTTTTCCCAGTTTGCCTGAGAAAGTTCTAGGGATAGGCAGCTTGAAACAAAAACAAAATAAATCAAAACAATAACACATTGTTTTTTGAAATGGTCACCCATTCTCTCGCTCTCCCTCAGGGGCGAGCAATTTCACTTACCCCCAAGATTCAGGCGTTCCCCGTATGGGCCACCAAATGCCGCAGTCTGTCTGGGCACAAAATCATGAGCCACTCAAGCAGGAACAAACTTTATTTCCAAAACTCCCGCGAATGCCACGCACGAGGCCTTCTCCCAGGACACACCACACCAACAGGAAATCCCTCCTCCGGAAATCCCTCCTACCACACTTCCCCAACCAATGGGAACTCTCTGGGAGTCCCTGGGAGAGCTCCAAAGTAGCAGGCCTAGGCGGACAGCAGGGGTCTAATATCCAATTGAATGCACATCTTAACATAATCATTATCATCTCAAAGGCTTGCTGGAGTCACCTTTCAACCAAAAATGCCATGTGTCATTCCTACTTGGCTATGGCTCTTAGCACTGCTTGTGGATCCCTTAAGCGTGGCAAGCAGAGCATTTAATGGAAGGCACAGTCTGTTTGGAGTAGCTGTCCTGGCTTGACCATACGTCAATTACAACCTTCTCTGAAAATCACCTCTTTTATCCCCTGGCCTGAAATACTCTCTTTTCCCTACTAAACTTTTGTGGTATTTATTTATTTATCTATTTATTTAGTGAATTTCAGACCTGCCTTGCATGTTTGCTTTTGGGCCTGTGATTAGTTTGCCCTCAATCCTGTTTCTATGCTTACAATGTCCAGAAAAACAAAACAAAACCGTAGACAACTTTATTTCAACTAAAATCTTACAGTTCTAGTAAGTCAACTTTTTTAGATTGGTATCATGAGAGAGGGAATGCACAATGTTTGGCTAATTTCTGGTATTCTTCTCCTTCTCAGACCCATTTAGTCAGGGGACTTTCTTGTGAATTTTCAGTGGAACCCAGTGGGTCCTGGAGGCCAGTCTGCCTTAGTTCTCCCCTAGAATTCCAGTGTGCCCCCATTTTGGTACTTGAAACCTATCTCTTTAACAAGATGTTATATTTTCCGATAGCCATGATATTTGATTCTATGGCTAAAACCAAACAAAAAACAATTTTGCCTTCCTTTTGTCTTCTTCCCCACCTCTCTCCTTTATTTCTTCCTCCCATTAAGCTTCTTTCTTCCCCTGTTTTCCATTTTCCCCCCTCTTCATCTTTCTACCAGGTTTAAAAGCTCTCAGTGATCTGGTCCTCTTTTTATTCTCCCACTTGACTTCTCACTCCTCTTCTTGTTTCTTAGGCTCCAGCCATGCTGGCTTTCTTTCTGAGTGTGGAACATGATGAATTTCTTGCTGCCTCAAGGACTTTCCACTTACTGTTCCTGTGCCTGACATGACTTTGTCATGGGGATCACAGTTCATGTTCTCAGACTGCCCAACCTAGATCGACACCTCTGTCATGTTATCTTATCCTAATTCTCTGCAAAGCATGTGTGTCACTGATTTATAACGGATCCATTTGCTTACTTATTTGTTTATTTATTCTTTTAGTATTATTCATATTTATTTGTTTTCATATTTTACTTTCCACCACTAGAATATAACTTTGTTAGAACAGAATATTTGTTTTGTTCATTGCTGTATCCCTGGTACCTGTCCCATTATAAGCACTCAGATGTTTGTTGAATAACTAAATGATAATTGTTCTGACTTGTAAATTCAAAGACACCATTTTACATAATGAGATTAATATTACTAACAGCAATGGCAATTTTGAGTTATTTGAATGTTTGACAAGAAATTTTTTGTACTGCGTAATATGATTAGCTTATTTCTAGAAACCCTTTTTTTCATATAGACATGTTATATATAATGCATCAGAATTGTTAATGCATTATTAATATATCCTTTATATTCCAAAAAAGATTATACATCTAGCTTGATCTAAATGCTTCTCTGTGATAGAATCTGTGACCTCATTTCTGGTATTTATGTGAGGAATTCTATAAGAAAGAGTGGAAATTTGTAATTACATTTTTCTGCATTTGGAAGATCTTAATCCACACTTCAGCATTTTTAGAAAAATCTACATTTCCCCCACTTGCTATTTGAACAATAAAAGGGGAAACATAGATATTTGTTGCTTGGAAAATAAGAGAATGTAAAATCTGAATGTTGAGGAAAGGGTAAAAATGTAGTTATATTGTCAGCAGCATCAAATGTAGTAGAAATTAAATGCAGTATTATGAAAAATAATGCTATGAATAATGCACTCAGTTTAAGAAACTCATATTAGGTGGGGACAAGTACGGGTAAAAGAGCTACAAGTGGCTAGATCTAGTCTGTCATCCTGCTGCTTTTGCTGTGAGGGTATTTCTGTCATTGGCATTGGTCAGTTGGTTATCCATATTCACAGCATTTTGTCTTCTGGAATTAGTGCTAGAATCTGCCATTTTTAATTTCTCCATCTTCTTCACAATTCTCTACCAATCTTTGCAGCAGACACTGTGATGTGCCCACCAGAGGCCCATTGAAGATTCAAGGACTATGCCCAAGCTTTGGGGAGTGTTGCTGTCAGGCAGCCTTTTCAGGAATTGCCTCCACTGCCTCCTCCAAGTGTATTCTTTCTTCAGCCAGTGAGTATCCGCTTACTGATCTATTAAGGCTCTGGTGTGTCACTCTTCCAACTCCAGAATTCTCTATGGGGCTGACTGAACTCTGCTGAATATACAGAAGCTTGACTTCTCCCTTTGCCTATTCTTGCTTCATTCCATTCTCTTCAAAGGGAGTTAATTCCAAGGACCCTTCATCAATGTCCTGCATGTTAATCTTCACTTCAGTCTGCTTCTGGGGGAATTTCAACGTAAGGTACTCACTGTTACAGTTTGGATATGAAGTGCCCCCTAGAGACACACATGTTCAAGGAGCACAGCTGCATTGGGGAGCAAATCTTGAACATGTGAGTCTTTGGGGGACACTGCATGTTAATTTTTTCTACATGAACTTATTTTTTAATAAATGGTGCTTTTTAAAATTTAAATTAGTTTTTGTTTTTATTAGTACATTATAATTACACTAATCGTGGGTTTCATTGTAACATATTCACATATGCACACAACCTAATTTGTTCCATTTCATTCCCAGGTACTTCCCTTTGTCTTCCCTCTTCCCTCGCCCTCTTCTACTTTCTTTAAACTTCTGGTTTTTCTTCTATTTATTTACATATACATAAATATATATATTTCATTTGACAAAGGCCCCTGATTTTAAGCATCCCAACCTTGATAGTGTAAATACTTCCACCAAGGCTGATTTAAATTTATTGTTTAACAATGAACTTTAAAAATTCCTGAATATATTTTTTTCTTTAACATACAGTCTTGCTACATTTCCCAGGTTGGCCTCTAACTCCTGGGTTTTACTGATTCTCCTGCCTCAGTTTCCCAAGTAGCTGAGCACTTAAGACACATGCCACCTTACCTGGCGTATTGAATCTTAAGCTGTAGTAAGACATTACTTGTAGTGTTCCATTTTCTTTTTGCCATCAAATTTATGACTACATTGGAAACAGCATCAAAGTTTTTCAATGTATGTGCTATTATCTTCCAGAGCATATCATTACCTTTACACGATGGATAATGCTAGAATCACGCAAATAATAATGGTTAATGCTAAAATCACCCAAATGATATAGCACTGTTGCCCTGGTCACAATATATTACAAGATATTTCTTATATAATACCCACCACCATAATTGATGCTGAGGATATAGGTATTTGGAGTTGTGTGAATCTAACACTTATTTAGTGTCATATATTAGGTTCTTGGCTAAGTTTTCTGAATGCACTTTTTTCCATTAATTCTCATAAGCATCTGCAAAATAGCATTATACTGTGACTCAAGGAGGTTAAAGTAATTTTCCCAAGGTGGTATAGTTCTTTACTGGTAGAGCTCAGAATAGAACATAAGTCTCTTTCCAAAACAAGTACTTATTTCAACACTGTATTTTATGGATTTACACAGGACCAAGATATTGGATAATTTTTCTGTGCATTTCTGAGAATAATTAAATAAATTTCTTGACTCTTTTGATTAACATGTCTTTCTCATCTTTTGTTGTAGATTTCCCAGATATCTTGAATTATATATATCTTTAACATGTATTCAGTATCTCCCAATTTCTAGATTTTCTGTGTCTCATGTTAGATCTTTGGGAACTTTTCTAAGACAGAGGTACTAAGCTAGATAATTTATCTCTGCTTCTTTAAGATCTTTAAGAAACACAGTCTGATATGAGGGAAAAAAATCAGATTGTTTCAGACAACAACATAAGTGCCCTAAACTGAGATTAACAACCATGAAGGTCACCTCATAATAGTGCTTATTGTTCAGGTCATATTTTAGTGGAAGAACTTTGATTTTCTCTATTCCTTTTCCAAGAGGTTTTTCCACCTGCAAAAACAATCACTTAAAACAACAGAAGCCAAGAACTAAGAAACTAGTGTCACAGACAACTTTCCTCATTGGCACTGCTAATAAAAATATGAAAACACCGTGAAAACACCAATATTTTATTTTCATGATGTAAAATAAAGTATCTGTTACAATTGGTATTTTAGATTCAGCAGTCAAATTTTTTAAAAAATTACCAGTCAATTTGTTTATATCCAATTAAAATTTCCTGTGAATTTTTTTTTATTTAAAAAATATGTGTTATTAGTGCTGTTATGTACAGTTCTTCAGAGAGATAGAACCAATAGGAAGTCTATCTATATAGCTATAACTACAATTATTTGTTTTCTTTTTTTAATTTTTATTGTTGGTTGTTCAAAACATTACATAGTTCTTGACATATCATATTTCATACATTTGATTCAAATGGGTTATGAACTCCCATTTTTACCCCATATACAGATTGCAGAATCACATCAGTTACACATCCACTGTTTTACATATTGCCATACTAGTGTCTGTTGTATTCTGCTGCCTTTCCTATCCTCTACTATCCCCCCTCCCCTCCCCTCCCCTCCCATCTTCTCTCTCTACCCTATCTACTGTAATTCATTTCTCCCCCTTGTTTTTTTTTCCCTTTCCCCTCACTTTCTCTTATATGTAATTTTGTATAACAATGAGGGTACTTGCAGTGTCCCACTTTCTTTTTGCCATCAAATTTATGACTACATTGGAAACATCATCAAAGTTTTTCAATGTATGTGCTATTATCTTCCAGAGAATATTATTACTCTCACATTCTCTGTTGTTTCATGTATGGAACA